CGGCATTCCCTGCGAACAGATCTCGATTTTATTTGGATGGCCCCACACCCAGAAAAATATCATTCTACCGCTAAGAAAAATGACTACTCAATTTACTTTCTTCTTTCTAAGGAACGGTTATCTTTAACAAAGAATATTTTTTTGATAATAATCTTAAATTATATACACTATAAATTTCTTACAGTGAAATCTTATTCCAAGAAAGTGAAAATACAACCGCCCTTAAAAAAAAAGTGAAGATATTTCACTTTTTGAAAAATAGTAACAATTTTTATTCTTTTTAGAGTGAATTTTCACTTTAAAGGAGTAAAATCTCACTCCAAAAAAATGAGATTTCACTCTAAAGAGAGTGAAGATCGTCATTCTTTTTCAAGAAGTGAAATATTTTCACTTTTTTTCAAGGGTGGTTGCATTTTCACTCTCTCTTGGAATGAAATTTCACTGCAAAAAATTTAGTGTACTTATTACAAATTTTAGAAAAAACTCATATACTAAAAACAAGAATTTATTTTCTTTTAAAGAATATCATAAAATTGATCGATAAAGCGACTTTATATAACTAGAATTCAAAATATACTTCGAATAAATTTGATGCTTGTAACGAACTTATAAATAGATTTGTGAATATATGAATATTTGAAAAAACTTATAAAACAGGTAATTATTACTTGCGTACAGTATGTATAATTTTTCCTTGTGCATCTATAATTTCCATACAGCATAGAAGCTTGCAGCAACATTGCTGCAATTTTTGCATCACTTGCAATATTGCTGGAATAATCTGTGCTGTACGAGTCGCTATCGAAATTACCCATCGCCAAAATTACGCATCGATTTATGCGCGAGAGGCAAAAGAGAGGAAAACAAATTTCTCAATCGTTAAAACTCATGGTCGTTAAAACTTTGCGCGTAAATCGCTAATTTGCGATTCCGCCCGCTTGTGCTCTGTTAATATTCCGCGCATTAATACTCCGCACAGCGGATCAATTAACAATTCCGATTTATTTCTGCTTTACGCCGTCTCTGTGATCAATAGAAGGGATTCGCTTTTATAGATGACAGGTAGTTTTCCGATTGTTCCGAAGAATGTTAGTAGGTCATGCTAGTTTAAGCTTTAATGCGTCCTGTGCTGCTTATATATATAATTATTTAATACATTTAATTCTCGAAATCGAAATTACGTTAAAAATTCCCTATCAAAGGAGACTCGTTTGACATGGTTCTTTCGCGTTTCACGACCGCAGGTGATCGTTCTACATTATTCGTATTCAATTTATATTTCATTTTTTTTTTTTATTATACGTCGCGTAGCGGCGACATCATTTCACGACGTGCAAATTATAGTAGGCGTGGAAGATATGCATGTATTTATATACCGTGGGCGGGGATAAATTAATATTGGACCCGCGTCGTTCCTGGGGACCGGTGCTGGAGTGTCGACGGATCGGCAGACCGCCGCCACCGCCGGTGCCTGGCGTCCCGCCTGGCGAGCTCGCGCAGGACGGCGCTATCCGTATCTTCGGTGTCATCAGGGTGTTGTCCGACAGTCGTCTGCTGGTGAACGTGTTGGCGACTCGCAGGAAATTACTGTCGTTGGCCGAGGGCGAATTGAACCATCCGCCGAACATCGCTAAACAGACGTGTTATGTTCGGTTAAATCGATCTACAAACGTCTCGAAAAATGCATCGCGTTTCTCCCACTAAGGAAAAATAAAATAAATATTTTACACGGAGGGCAAGAAAACCGTCATCTTCACTTACCAGCCACCGAACTTTTCCGCGCCATATTTTCCGCGGATGCCGTTGATATGGATCCTGTATGCGGGGAAAAATGTCGTTTTAGTACCCGTGAACTGGGATCGTTTAATTCCTTGGAGGACCGTTTCCATAAATATTGAATAAGCTTAATGGAGCCATCACCCGTGTTTCTTCCAGGTCTCTTCGAAGACTCTTCTATCACTCGAAAGAGTCGAAGTTTTTATTAAATAATTAACTTAGCTAATATTTATGGAAACTGTCCATTAGAGGACAGTTCTACTTAGAGGACTACAGTTCCATTAGAGGACTTCCACAGAGAGAGTTTCTCTGTGGAAGAAAAGTGTCGTAACCCTTTTAGCTGTTATGGATGTGTTGAAAAGGAAACATTAGACCTCATTACAAATTAATCCAAGACAACGAGGAAATTTGAAAAAGTTCAGTCCCTTAACAAAGAATATCACATTGCTTAAAGGATGTTGGAAGAGACACTAGAGTCTAATATTTCTGTCAATATTCGCACCAATACTATTCTTTCTGGCCATGTCCTCGGCCGACGAGGTCTTGCGTTGCTCGATGCGCAAATTGGGAATGTTAAACGCCGGCACGTGTACATTGTCGGTGCTATATTGGTGTCGCAAGGGTCGAGATTTGTCGGGACTCGGTAAAGAGAGATTGTCGAGCGTCAGCTTGTTCCTCTGATTTCTGCAATTTAAAAAATGAGAGAGAGCTCGCGCGTGGGCGTTATGAAAATTCTGAAGATGCTTTATGTGAAGATGCTTATATCGATCGATAGTTGCGCAATATTAATTAATTAGTAGCCGCAATATTCGTTAATTATACGGAGTGCTCCATGTTGCAATCGCGTTAAGTATCATAAACAAGATCTTTGAACGATCGAAACAACGATAAAAAGAATTATCGGTAACAAAAATTAATTATAATATAAAAAATAAAGATATATTCTTTTCTATAAATTTTACATTGAATGACTTTTGAACGGATATACGTAAACATTCATTAATATTTCACGAGTTGAACTCTTTAATGATTTTACGTGCCATTACCGCATATAATTATTCATTTATTTTCACAACGATTCTTAATTAAGTCCCTAGGGAATCATTATTTTGCACTCCTGTTTACCCGATATATATATATACAATAATATACTACTCCGTACCATCTTAGCCTCTAATTGAAACTTGCCTCTCAATGTTATTCAGCATATCCTGCAGTACCTCAAGGAGCAATATGAATTGCTCGAGGTTCAGCTTCGGATTCACGGTTTGCGGTAATAGAGAAGGCATTGCATGCGTCGCCATCCAATTCACTGATAACCCATATTTCTTGTCGGTCAGCATCAACCTGTAAATATCTGAAATACGCGAAAAAAACGAGAATAATTAAATGCGTGTCATAATAACGATCATTTCTTTCTTTTTAGAATAAATATATATCCCTATGGGATATTATAACTCCTGTTTTTCCTTTTCTCATTTTCTTTATTTCTCTGTCTCGAATCGTGTTACATTATATATTAAAACGGTCCCTAGCTGATATCTATCTTTTTACAGACAATAAGAATATTAGATTAAAAAGTTGTTGACATTATTGTAGTTATTAGGACATTTCATGTCACAATACAGAGGCGAATATATTGAAATATATTCGGAAAGAAAAAACGGTTTTGCTGAAGTATCTAAAAATTGAGTTAGATACGGATCTACATGAAAATTAATTTTGCTGGACATCAAAATTAAATAATTATTTAAAACTCTTAAACGTTGGTGTGTGTGTAACAATGCTGGAAAAAGCTTTAACATCTTAAGAAGAATTTAAGCGTCCTGCTTAGCTATTTTGATAATGCAAATAAAATTATTTTTAGCGTATCTAGTTAAATTTTTAAATACTTTAGCAAAACTGTTCTTTCCGTGTAAGAAATTTTTTAAATTGCTTGTCTTAACCGATAAAAATAGAAAGATAAAATTGAATTTTGAAACATCTTCTACATAAGTGCTTTGATTTAATTCAAGTGCTTTAATTTAATTTTACTTCAGTTTAGTTTTTATTTTAATTATATTGAACACTTAATATTATTATAATTAATATAATTTAGTATGATTATAGTTAACATTGTTTAGCTGGTAAAGCAACAGTTGATCGTCGGGGTATGACTTCTATTAAATGTGCGCGTAAATCCACGTGTATTCGCCTTTACTTCCACTTACTTACAACCCGCACGACGATCTCGGGTTCTTGCAGCTTGATTTTACATAGCAGCGGAAGAATGCAATCGATGATCTTCTGCTTCTCAAGACGGCATAGGATGCATGGTACCACATCCATGAGTACCCGAGCATTCGCCGAATTATTTTCGAAGGCGTCTAGTAGTTTCGGCAGCACCACGTTACGTATGGCGTCATCTTCGAGATAATTCGTCACATGTGCCACGGCCACGAACGCGGCCGTCTGATAAACGAATGAATTGTTGATGTGACAAAAATTTTTTAGTGACTTTGCATATTCATGAACTGCTATCGTTTAGATATACTTAGATCAAGAATATTATCAAACTACGAAAATTCTGAATATACGAAAAAAATTCCGTGAAAAGGTATCGGTGAATTAAAATAGAGTTTATAAGAGATGTATATCAAATTAAGAATTTATATCAAAAATTTGGAGACAATCATTAAAAAGAAAGGTTAATAAGAACCGAATCTCGATCCGTAAAATAAATAAATTAAAAACGTTTCGGTTTTTCTTCTTCATTTAGCCGTTATCTTGGAATTCATAGTTTATTCAGCTTACCAACCGGCTGTAATTGACATTAATTCAATTTTGAAGATCGATCCAAGATCGATCTCAGTCGGTTGAGAGCGTAAATTTAATTTTTATATGTAAAATGCTCGAATCTACCGAAATTTCCAAATTTATGTATCTTTAATAAACCCTTTTGATTAATTTATTTTACGCACCAAGATCTGTGTCTGACTCTCATTAGCCCTCTTTTTAATTATTGTTCTTTAAGAGTCCTGTTAATCCTTTGTTAAAAATTAGACTCAATAAGACAGTAAGATATTCGAAAAATGGAAATATAATTTTTCAAACATTAGAGTTTGGTTTCTGCAATTATTAGATTGCTATTTATTTCACGAATAAATCACAGTAGTTTTTTTTTCCTGAGTTTACTCACCCGCACTTGAATGGTCGAATTTTCAAAGGACATGTACAGCATCGAGAGCACCTCGCGTTCGTATTCCTGGGGCGTCTTCTCCAGGATGATGTGCAGATTCTCCAGCAAGGTGACGGTTCCCTGAATCGACTTTCGATTGGTGAAGAGAGGTCTTAGAGAAAGAGAGAGAGAGAGAGAGAAACGGAAGAGAGGGTGAGATGAGACGTGCCTATTTCGCGCGGTCTCGCGCTCATTTCCGCTCTCGTTCTGTATGTAATACGTACTTAAGCGTGGGAAATACGATTCGTTCGTATTCCTCCTTCGTGCTGCTCTGGACAATGTACAGCATGGGCTGCAGCACGGCCGACAGCACTTCCTGCGTCTGCAGCTCCGCGTGAAGGTATGTCCAGATGTGCTGATACCAGAGTTTCTGCACAAAACGGGGAACGTTCGTGTGACACGTGACATTTCGCGGAAGCATGCGGGCACGTACGATTAGGTGAATTGTCACAGTGTAAACAACGGCGCAATCTGCAGTAAGTTATATTGTAAAATAATTCGATGAGCTAACCGCTGTTAACCCCTAGACGCCTTCAGACATCGTAATGTACATCAATTTGAAGACATTGTCCGTTGAAATTATTTAATTCTGTCGACGTCATCTGAGATTAGATTTACATATAATGTATATGTTGGAAAAATAGTCAAAATTTTGAAAAAAAATTAATTAGTACGAATTACGTATTAAAATGTCCTTATGTTGAATTTAAAAGAAATTCTTTTAACATGGTTCTAATAAAATCAGGACCAAAAGATGTTAAAAAGAAAGAGCATAGCTAATCAATCTTTTGCTTATCATGGAAAATTTATTGCATTATTCCATCGAAGATCTCATTTGCTCCACTAAACGTTTTAACATTCTTCTCCACGTCTCTATAATAATCTATCGGAAATCTATTCGCTCGGAATTACGGAAAGGATGTTCTCGGTGCATTAAAATGCAGAAAATGAACTGCGAGGGATTATAGTAGAATAATTAGCAAAAAGCGGATTACTATTATTATAAAATAAAGAGAATTGTAAGGCATCTTCGATAAGCATCTCGAAGGAATGTACATGTATTATGATTTAAATCAAGATTCAAGCTGGCTTTTAGATATTCCGATTCTTCGCGATTCTAATTCACTCTAAATCCATCCCGAATATACATACAACGTTCATGACGTTCGCGTGTACCTTTGGCATATACGGCAGAAGTTCTCTCAAAGTTGTCGTGTAAAAGTGCTCCTTCTGATGCACGTCCTTCATCTTGCTGACGTCGAGAAATTGCAGAGCGTGCACGAATGGGTCTTGAAAGAACTTGATCATGGTCAAAACTTGCGCAGTCGGTCTCTGCTTCGGGTCCTTGTGCAAAAGTCGCGTCACAGCTTCCCGAAGTGGTATCGGTATCAGTGGCAAAAGAACGGCAACTTGATCGTCAAGCTGGTAAAGGAAGCAGCAATCTAATGAATCTTTTCAGCATTACGCTCTTTTACTTTTCAATCAGACGTTCGACGGAATTGCGATCGAAGTGCCATTTACACAACGATAAAAAAAGAACAGGAAAGAATAGTTTTGCTGAAGTATCTAAAAATTCAGCTAGATACTCATCAAAGAACGTTTTAAATTGGTTACTAGAGAATACCATATTAAAACTTTTTGCAGCATTGCCATCATCCAAGAAACTCTTTATTTCGATTCTTAATGTCAATAAACATTCAAATTTTGTAAGAAAAAAATCACCATTTTAACTTTCATGACGTCAAAACAGGGTTGATAAAGACTAATGTTTTTTTTTTTTTTAAGAATAAAACATATTGTGTTTCTTCTCCAACATGTTTTTAATGCTTCAAATATGCTTTAAACAGTACTATAAAGAAAATATATTTAAAACATAATAAAAACATCAACTAAGCATGTTTTAAACTGTTTAAAACACGTTTGAAACATTTTTCACCAACCCTACGTCAAAATAAAGTTATTTTGATTTTCTCTTAACTTGGTGTATTCCTTAAGTAACGTTCATTAAGTATTCTACATAATTATTTTGATGATTCAACAAGATTATTTTGAGACCCGTATCTAGCTCAATTTTTTGATACTTCAGCAAAAGTTCTTTTCGCGAACTTGCAACTTGAGGAAACGCAACTGAAAGGAACAAAGTTTATTTACGAAGATCAGAGCGATGGGAAGTTCCAAGAGAGATTCCGTGTCTCTCGAGAGTTAAATACTTTTAAAGATCATCCTATGATTTCTTCGCGTGCTTCCGAAGGGAATATCGTCTCGCCTGCGTCTCGCGAACGGATTAACTTACGGTCTCGAGTTGCTTGAGATAATCCGAGCAGCTGTGATTCGCCTGTATCAGTGGTCGGCCCTGATTGTAAATCGCGCATATCGTCATCCCTAGGCTGTACATGTCGCTGGAGAAGCTCCCGAGTTTTTTCTGCTGCACCTCTGGTGCTGTAACATGTTGCGCGACCGCGTTATAAACAAATCCCCAGTCGACGAGGTGCGAGAAGGATCATCAACAATGCAAATAGGAAATCGTATCGCATCGCCATGTGCGGAAAGCTATCCCTAGTAATTTTCGGAGAGCTACGGCTCGATTGAAGCTGCCGGATTCAAAGCAATAGCCCGTTTTATCGCTAAAGTTCGGAGTTAATGAAGTTTCTCGCATAAATCCGAACCCGTTGACGCGCTACCGAATTTATTTCTTTTTTTTCTTGCACGTGTAAGCAAGTCTATTTTTTTAACATGTAGAACAAACTCGGAAAGCTTTACATTTTACATTTGATTGGAGTTTATCAAATATTTTTTTATTATAAAACAAAGTTCACGTTATGTTATTGTGACGGCTGTATAATTAGATTTCTATTTTCGTTGCACGTTTAATGTTAAATACGAAATTGTTTTATGCAATACCTACGAGAATCGTAAGGGAAACACGGGACGAAAAACAAACCGAGTTAAATATTAATAAATGTATACTCAAAATACAGATTTACATCTTGTACAGAGAGAGATTGATTTTCCTATTTCTATCACACTAAAGAGATTCTCTGTATAGATATATTTATACAAAATCTCCGTTTATAGAAAAACCATTTCTATTTATAGAGCTGAGAGCTACTTCTTTTCATATGAAGAATCGAGAACGCGCTTAATGTGTTAAACGTTAAGATAAATCTGATTTTTATCAAACTTGCAAGACTCGTAAAACACGTAGCATCTTATAGGCACTAAAAGTGGTTTTCCCAGCGTGGGTGTGCGTTAACGACAACCTCTCTTTGCGATGTCTCACCTATATAATCGAGATTCGGCTGAGTCATTTTTGGCATGTGCTTCGTCCATGACTGCACGGTTATCGGTATTTCCTTGGCACCTTCTAACAAGCGAAACATATTCTGACAAAAACTGCAGCGTAAAAAGGTCGCGCATCTGTCTTTTTTAGTCTTCGATATCACGTCTAACCGATACATCATTTACCTTTCATCGATTTTATTTCTGTTTTATGATGCATTAGTACACAAACCGCAATGTATAAGGAAATAATTTCAAGATTTAATAATTCCTAGTCCTTCAAATTTGCTAGTGTAATTTTGTCATTATATGTATATATTCATTTATCGATGAATTATGCTTCATCGTATTTGCTTTTGGACAATTTGATGAAAGGTAATATTTTAATTGATGAAAAGTAGCTGATACTTACTAAAAATGGATAAACTTAGTGTCTCTATCTTTATCGAAGGATGACGAGATTAGACTCACCGATAAACTCGAATCCCGATAACTTCCACGTGCCTCTTTTTGTGATAATGATGCTCGTCGGGCAAACGTTTCTATGGAGAAATTTACAGTTGCCATGAAGAAATAATAGGGCTTCCGTGATCTGCAAAAAGTAAGCAATAAAAAATTCATAAATCCGACTATCTGGACTGAATTCTCGCTTTTTCATTTCAATATTATTTTTAATAATGTTTCGATGTTCCTTCAATTCTTATGCTTCAAATAATTTTTAAAAGTGAAAAATAAATCTAATAATTAACCCTCTTCACTTTTTTTTACATTTCGAATTTCTCTTTGTTTTCCGTAACAGCTCGAATAGATTTAGAATTACTCTTCGTGAAAGACATAATTGCGAGTTCGAATCATTAAACTGAGTTACTGAACGCGATCGCTATTACACAGCGGCACAAGTCTAACTCGTGGTTTGAGAGGGTTGACGGCATTAAGCATTCTATTACGCTCCCTCGTAATACATTCTATTATGTGAACTACATCGAAACACGGCACCGCCGCGCTGTGATGGAGTTGATTTCGCGTGGCTGCAACTAGGAACTCGTTTTTGAGAAAATTCACTTTGATCACCCTCTCTCTCTCCTTTCTTCTCCCTTTCACCATCTCTTTCGTTGTTGCACGCATGCGCTTGGATTCGACTTAATTTTCTGCAACGCGACCCCGTTATCGCATCTACGCTCCGTGCTGATACGTACAATGTCACGGTCGTACATGCGTACTCGTACATCGAAATTGCCTCTCCTCTATTTGCTATTACTGCCTATACCTAATTTCGTCCTGCAACGTTGCATCGACGCAACATAATAGCACAAGGGTGTAGTTTTTATGGAAACCTTCGATCGCGTGTCTATTAGAGAAAAAAGAGATGGAGAGAATATGTGAAAAAAAGCACATCGGCGATATTGTAATAACACGAGTATTAGCACTTAAAAACATATCACTTTGTTCCTCTTCTCCGTGCTCTTGTTTTATATAACTTAACTGCTAATGGACGAACACCATTATCGGTGCCTCGGATTTGAAACCGCAAAGTCCGCGAGAGTAGGTACATAGAAAAACAAGAGAGGTTTCCGGAAATCAAAGTATATAGCAAAGAAGAAAATAACAATTATCTTTTTTCACGTTAAGCATCGTATCCCAAACGATCCAATGAAATTTTTGTATTAATTTAATACAAGATGAATGTATATTAGAAAGTAATACAAACATTATGTGTGTGTGTAACAATATTAATACAAAAATATATTATAACATGAACACAATTTGTAAGCAAACTGGAAGCATATTTTTTTCAAAAAAAATTAACACGTGTCTATTTTATTTATTCATTTTAGAATTTACGTTTTAAAGCACATTATTTTTATGTTATTTGTTTACTTATTCATAAATTGTTTTGACACTGACGTAAGAAATGTTGAATATCAATTTAACAAAATATTTAAATAACATAATTATATTGTGTTAAATTTATAACTCGAATTTATTAAAAAATTAAATAAAAAATTTTAACAAGAACTCGCGTGGACCGATTTTAAAAAACACAAATAAAAAATATTCTTTACTATGCTGGATTTTCTTAAATATTTTTCGCAAACTTTTTATCGAGACACGAATTTGAATTTTATAGTTTTTACAGAGATGAATTTTGATTCTCATAGAGATGACAAATTATTAAATGCTTTCAAAGCCCAATTAGGTAATCTATTGTCCCGGGAAATCTATTGTCGGTCTCTCCTTCGTCGTCAACATCGCGCTCTCTTACCTGTAGAAGCCCGTACTTGACCTCCAGTTCGAGCAGCTCGTACTCCTTGACAAAGGTCGAGCGGTGGCTGGTGGTCGGCGGGTGGTTCTGCTTGCCCATCGGCCCCGAGGATTGCGCCGCGAGCGTGTTTGCCAATTGCTCCTTGTACGCCAGGACGTTCGCTAAACTGGCGAGGACCGGCTCCGACGCGAAGGCCAACGTGTCCGCGCACTCCTCCACTTTGTACGCCTGCATCGCCGGTCAAATATAGCGCGTGATCGATCTACGGAATGGCTCGCGAAAACGCTCGAACGGCGATATAATGCGTATTGATCGAATATATCTCGAGTGAATTCACGTGCCGCGCGAATACCTTGCGTATGCACGTACCTGAAGAAGCTTCGGATGCGAGTACCGCTCCATTTGAGCGGCGCCCGCGCGCAAGATGTCCGTGACCGTTTCCCGGCGTTTCGGCTTGTGCAGCTTCTCCACGGATCGTTTGTCGAACAGAAAGATCGAAACCTCCTGCGAACAAATACTTGCATTCATCTTCTATCCGCTATCGTCGCGCTCTACGAATCGCAAACTTGGAACTCAAACACGAGAATCTCTTGCATTGAGAGAAAGAAATGGTTGCAATTACCATAATTTAAATGTAATTTATAGTCATCTTTTAGAACACCTATATATTTATAGTTACCAAGCAAATATAGTCAATTTGCTATTAATAGTCACATATACTGTTTGCAAATTTTCATTTTTTTTTTAAACATATTTTTTAATTATTATGTTATCTCATAAATAGTAAGCGAATGTTAAAAAATAATTGTATCCACTATAATTGCAATTGCATTTACTAAATAAAAATGCTTATTTTATTTATTATTTATATTTTGATTGTATTAATATTTTATTATATTAATATTGAAATTATTATAAATTATAGTATAATTTTTTCATGTTTGAGAGAACACTATATATAGATTATTATTTTTAATACTAGCATTACAGTAATAATAATTATACAAATGAAACTGCTCACCATAATTATTTTACCATGCAATTATAAACACAAATATTAAACACTTTTCTCAATATAGCCCAACTATAAAAGGAGCGATTTTGCTGAAATGTTTAAAAATTTAACTAGATACACACAAATCTGAAAATAATTTTCTTGAGTTATCAAAATAATTATAGATATAAGATATTTTATAATTCCATTTGTAAATAAATTGTCTAACATTGTTACATCATGTCTAAATAAATCTTTGTTCACGGTAGGATATAAGAGTTTGAATTGACTTAACAACTTCATTAAAGTCCAAAAAGATAATACCAACAAAGAACTGAAATGCAATGTAGTATACAAAATTAATTGCAAGAACTGTTAACGCCTCCTACGTTGGCCAAACAAAAAGACAATTAAACTCGAGAATCAATGAGCACATTAATAATATTAAGATGGACTCGTCGAAGCACTCGGTAATCTCAGAATATATTATGAATTTCAATCATTCTTTCGATTGAAATAATGTTAGAATCTTGGATTCCGAACATAATTATAATAAAAGATTAATTTCGGAAATGCTCTGTATTAAAAAACAGGAAAAAGGCATAAATTTACAAAAAGATACCGAGAGATTGGATGATTCATATATTTGTTTATTAAAATCGGTTTCAAAATAAGCATGTATAAAATGTTTCTTGGCCTTATTACATTAAACATAAATAATATCCTTCGCATTTATCTGTTAGAGGTGAATATAACATGAGCTTTCATCTGTGATCCAAGGCATGTTTTTGAAGTAAGCTATATAATTTTAAATTTCACTTAGTTTCATAATTCTTTAATTTATAATTAATTTAATTTTTATTTATCTTTTTATCTATCAATTTTAAACCTTAAATATGTATATACTTATCACTTTTATATGTTTGACATTGAGGATGATCCGATCGAACTCGAAACGCCGTTTGTATTATTTTTTTGTTTAATTCTTATTAATTATATTATATCTTTTATTTAAATATTGTTTTCTTATGGTTCGTAACTCTTCTCAACACTTTTATTATTAATTTATATTAATTGAATCACATTATACGACGTATTTTAATTTAATTTTCATTCAAGTACATATTGAGATACATATTTAAAAGCCTTTTGACTTCATCATATAATTTTATAACCTGACTCCGCTCTTTCTCGCCGTCCAACAAAGACAATTTTATAGACGATATACTGTGAAATCGTTGTAATTAACCGCGACATGATTTTATATTTTGTAATTGACTGCGACATAATTTTATACTTTGTATCTTTTAAATTTAGAACTTGTCCAATTTTGAACATTGCATTTAACTTAAAGTCATATTATTATCATTTGACTGATGAAGACTTAGTATAGTCGAAACGTTCTATGGTCTTGTTTATGATATTGAATAAATAGTTAATTGCGAATAACTGTAAGATAATGTACTAGTTTAAATTAAAATCCTTTCTTTGCTCGTTTCTTTTTTACCTATCTATTCATTAAACAAAATAATTATGTAGGAAACTTAATCATAATGAGCAATGCTGCAAAAAATTTGATATTCTAACAGCTTGAGAGTTCTACATAATTATTTTGGTTAGATAGTCTAAAAAGTTAATGCTTTTGAGGCTTCCACGGTATTTTTTATACAGAAGCTGCATTTCGCGAGATATTTCCGTGTCCAGATCCATTATTAGAGTACCAACGTTTCGTGAATATTGCAACTTAATTCAGCAAGGTGACGAACAGCCTGATACTGGCTTGCTCCTTCGAAGTCCAAAACAATTATTTTTTCAGATCTCTATCTAGTTAAATTTTTAGATATTTCTTCTATAAAACCATTCTTTGCATGCATTTACATATCAAATAGATTCAAGATCGAATGAATTATACCTCATTCTCGCATTTAAATCCCTCAAAAAATGACTTTCCAAATCCGATCAATTCAAATCTAATTCGCGATTCGATCATCTCTCTTTTTATTTCACTATCCGGATATCGTTAAAGTCGCATCGTTAGAAAAATTGGAAACTAAATCATGACGGTTAAAGTCAATCGACATCGATAGGAATCAATCGTTAAATCATCCATCGATATCCCAAGTAATCTTTTTGACGTCAATAGTTAGCCATTTTAAGTTATTGATATCGTGTTACCTATTTGAGATGTAATAATGACATCATCTTTTTAAAATAATGACGACATTTATTTGTCCATTCGAGGGCTGTGTTCCAAATTTATTGCCAGCGCCAAATATTTATGTGCAGTTTACGTGCACTATAGATTTTCAGTACTGGCAATTAATTTCGAAATATACAGCCTACGACATATTTACAACGTCATACTTATTAACGTCGGATGACCAATTGACGATGTACTAGTGACATTATTAGCGATCAATTAATAACGTTAATTTATGTATGCCATAAATAACATGAAAATAACGGTTTATACGACGTTATGTAATTATGAGAAACCCACGTCATTTTTACGATGATTAAACGTCAGATTCGTCATTAATTAGTCATTCTTCACATAAAAATGACTAATGACGTCAAATAAACGACACCTTACTACCTGGGATCGTTTTGACGTTAAGAAAATAGAAAAATAAAACAATAAGAATCTCATTTTTAGATCGAATATGTGAGAATACAATCGATAAACTAAAAGCCTATGCCGGTTGAAGCTAGATCTTTTAATGCTTTAAATAATTTTTAATGTGAATTATATATATGCTATAACTTGCATATATACCATATTTGTAGTCCTTCAAACTGCGCACCAAATTTGGTTTTCCGGACTTATAAAAGAAAAATAAAAAACATGAGCAAACGGGCCATAAGGAACCCATAAGGGTCAACAAAAAATCAAAATGTCTTTATAATCAAATGTCAATAAACGTCATCAATTTGACTTTCATGACGTCGAAATATAAAGTCAATTTGACTTTCTCTTGACTCGTGTTCCTTGGGGGAGTTTTCCCGCGACAAATTACCATCCTGTCCTTTTTCCGATAGCCATCGTATATGCGCCAGACGTTCTCCGGTCCGGCTGTGGCGGACTGCTTGCCGATCTCGTACATGTTGCGTATCGGATCGGGAAGCAAGTCGCACGGCGCCGTGCTGCTGCCTCTGGACTTCGCGAACATGATGAGCCAGCCAGCCAGAGGCCCTTCGGTGAATCAGCGTCGACCTCGCCCGTTTATTATCTGCCAAATCGAAATCACGTCGACCGCGTTATTTTGTCGCTTTAGAGAAAGAGGGGTTTGGATGAGGGGAGGATGGCGAAATATCGGTGTAATATCGGGAAAGCGATCTCTATGTTCGTTCGTGATGATAGATACGATTATGGTATTTCCCCTCGTGAGTCTCACAGGTACGTTTTTCCTGTATCTGTGACACGTGAAATCGGATTCATGAAAATTACATTGATTTTAAACATTACTTTCATCGCGGCCTTTGTTACGCGGAAATTTTTGTAAATTGGTGCGACCGGGCGAAAAATAGACGAAACGAGAGGAATCACTCCGCGAAATTGTGAGTCTCCAATATTCGCGAGAGAAGGAATTCAAATAAATTCCATTTTGTTCTTTCCTCTCCATCTCTGTATCTGTATACATATTGTTTTTCCAATATAGGCAGCCACGAAAATTACAATAAATTTGATCGAAAATTCAGAAATTACAGGGATTAGTGGATGAATTTAAATAAAAGAAGAATGAAAGAGAGAGAAAGAAGAGATAGGAATCTATATTGTGTAATCATGTTACGACAAATTTTCATAATTTTTAAATGTTCGATTAATTTTATGTATAATCATGTCTGTTTATAAAATTATTTTGTTTTTATGTTGAAATAAATGAAAAACATTAAAAGAGATTTTTAAGTTATTAAATAGAATGAAACAAATATGTTGCACGTGTTCAGTACAATTTATTAGTAATACAAGAGCATAACGAACACAGAAATTTTATAAATAATCCTCGAGTTCAATACTGAATATTTAATTTTGGAAAACTGAAGTCCTCTAATACCCTTTCATTAATTTCTTTTTGATATAGTATAAATAATAGTTTCGTTCGTATTGCGTTTCATAAAAATAAATTTCTTTTTTATTTTATATTTTTAAAAGACACTATGTGTGTGATCTGCAATTGATCTCTTTTTCTTTGTGAAGATTTAATTTTCAGTCCCTGCGCTTCGTGATTAATTAAATTTTTTATCCGCGCTTTGTATGAAATGTCCAAATACGAAATTCTTTCTCAATTGGGGATTGAGTCTATCTGAGGCATCACTATTATCAGCAAATTTTTAATTATCGACATTGAAAGTTGAAATTGAGCGGGAATGAGGTTTCGTTGCTCATTTGCGGCTTAATTTGGAAAAAGCTTTTTCATCCCGGTATGTTAAGTAATCCTGTAAATATTGAATCTAGAATCCCGATATCACTTCACTGTAAAATAACTAGAATATATAACTGTTTACAGTCGCCGTTTTCAACCACGGGTTGAACATTCATGAAGAGACTTCACTTCGAGAAACGGAGCAAATGATATTTTTGCGAAGGAAAAGCTCTTCGAATATTTCTTTTTATATCTCACGACATATTGCGTGAATAAAAGAAATCGTCTTCCTAAACGTGTATAATACAAAATGAGCGCTTTACATATAGCGTATACATAATTCCTTTTAAAGGTGCGATTGAATAGAAAGAGAGAGAATAGAGGAAGAAAGAGAGAGAGAGGGAGAAAGAGAAAGAAAGAAAGGAAACGAGGATCCTTTATCAATTCAAATTTATATTAATTGTCCACGTTTTAATGATCGACATTTAAAAATAAAAATTCTCTTTAAAAATAAATTCTCATTAAAAACAAAATTCATGAAATACTTTATTGTTTCTCTCTGTAAAATTTATATTTTTGGCATTTGAAACGTATTACAGCGAACAGTTTCGCACCTCGCGAGCGAAGGTGACTCGATTCATTTTTCGCACTTCCATGATCGGATGGCAGGAATAGAGATCATTTTTGTGTGCTCAATACAAAAATACAAGCTCTCTGAAATACCTTTTTTCCAAATACTCGGTGGCGAGTAAATGCGCGATTGACGCGAATCATCGTTAATTATTCAGTTTGTTAGAGAATTCTCGCGATTGGTTGCGCAAGTGCACATTTATTGTTAGCTAACTGCTCTTTGCACACGTATATTTTTTTTACGCACAAGTATATGTCTTTATTCGTTAAAAGGTAGTCATTAGGTATCAATAACGATAATATTCATCTTTTCAGCGTATAAAAGATCAAAAAAAGAAGGAGATATAAGAGAAGACGCAAGAGAGAGTGGAAGTTGAGTTAGAGCGAAAGAGGTTAAAACTTGTATTTCTCATCCCTCAAGCTCTTTCTCCTTTCTCGGAGGACTTCCCATGCAGGAAATATGATTCCTGATAGAGGCGTCCTTCGCTAGGAGGCCACGTTCGTTTCCTTCCTTCCTCCCCTGTAAGCTATCTGTCCTTTTCATGAAGAGGAGACGCTCCTTTCTCTCGCCCACGTTCTCCCGTAGAATTAATACCGTTCCGTGAAATTCTAATCGCCATAAGTTCTCGTTGGATTGACGTTAACGGGCGTTATCCGCTCCAGTAAATCGATATTAGCGCACGAGCTGTTAGCGTTAGCAGCTTACGAGCGCACCCCTCTAAATAGCATATCCTCGATTTTCGGCTCGATGCCCCATGGCGATGTTATTCTACCAGATTACCCGGTGACCCCGATCCTTGCTCGATATTATTCCCGTCCATAATTTTTCTTTTCTCACGCGCCGCCTTCGTCGCGCCTTCTCCCGCGCGCTCGTTCACGCAAAAGCGATTGGGAAAATTGCTACTAGAGTGCAAGAAGTTGGACGATACTCAGGAAAAAAAGTGCGTCCAGGTGGAGACGCAGTTGTCGCGACTACTCACCCCGTGAAATCGCGAGGCCATAGCTTCGTGCCGAGCGCGAAGACCGCGAGACAGACCGAGACTCTTGCGAGAGGGTAGATCTCGCTGACATTCACGCATTTACGCGTGCATCACGCGCATATACGCACGCATTACGAAGAAAACGAAGGAAAGACAGAGTAGATCGTGCGGACGGATAGACCCGACCGGGAGCGCGAGAGTGTGTGACTCACCTGTTGCCGAACGATATCGGGAAACGCGCGATAGCACCACCACCGCACATAGGCTCTCTCTCTGTGCCGAGAAGAGGCAGAGGAAGTGGAAAGAGGAGACACCGCGGCGGATGCGGCTGTGCGGCTACGGCTGCGGCTGTGGCGACGGTGACGGCGACGGCTGTGAAAAAAAGAAGCGATAATCGCGCGGGTTCGCGCGGGCGAACGGAGCGGAATGAAGCGGATAAGGCGCGTGGCGCGCGTGGCGCGCGTGCGATGAACGACGAGATGCGGATCGAGCTCTCGCGCGGGTGACACGCGCCCGAGGGTTGCGTGTACGTACGATACGCGTGTATACGTGTGCGTACGCGCGTACGTGAATGTGTGCGCGGTCGTGCGGCCGCCGCGCCGCGATTGATGCGCCGGTGGTGTATCGCGACGGTGGACTGGCGCGACCGTAGGCGAAGAGGATCCTGTTATCCTGTAAACAGGCCCCTTCCCCCGCTCCAGCGACAACGGCGACAGCGTATCGCCGTCGTCGTCATCGTCGACGTCGTCGTCGCCGTCGACGGCGGCGACGGTGGCGGAGGACACGCGCGTGCGCGCACCCTCCGCCTCCTGACTCTCCGCCGGCAGGTCCTCGCCCGGCTCCGGGCTCAGGGTGTAGGCCTCATGCGTTGCCTGGAAATTATAGGTCTGGGTTGCAGGGTAGGTAGGTTGGTAGGTTGGTAGGTTTGTAGGTAGGTAGGTAGGTAGGTAGGTAGGTGCTGGATATACACGGGATATATATAGCCGAGAGAGAGGAGGATAGGGATTGATTTGAGATACGGGGGTTTTTCCCTCTCGGCTCCGCTCGGCGTGTAACGACCGAAAAACCTGCCTGAATCAATACGCGTGTGTGTGTGTGTGTGTGTATGTGTCCCATTGCCTCTGTTTCTTTGGCAACCGGAGTATCACGAGGTGACGAGCGATTGTCCGTTGAGTGACTGACTGATCCGGCTGATTGACCTACTAGCTGAATGACTGATGCTGTTAAACTTCTTGTTCTTTAATACTCGGTGTCACATTGCAAGCGCTCTCCAAATGGCTTTACGAAATTTACGAAACGTCTTAACTGCAGATGATTTTCGAGCCTGTCAGTCTCATTATTGCTCTAATATAGTGTTCGTCACTGCTCGAAGTAATTTTGAAACGCACTCGAATTTTGAAAGAAAAAAAGCAGTAGTACAAAAATATGTATACGAATGTCGATATAAATGGGAATAGCATTTTTCATCGTTATTATCGGAGTAACTTTGAAACGCACTTTAATTTTATAAGAAAAAATGCTGTATGTAACAAAAAAATATATGAATATTGACATAATTGGAAATAATATCCTTTACCGTATTCGTTACTGTGTAGGTGACTTTGAAAATGCATTTTAATTTTAAAATAAAAAGGTAGTAATAAAAAAATAAATAAAATAAATATTGATACTATTGGGAGAGCATGTTCTTTTCATCGTTACTTTTATCGGGGTGATTTTGAAAAGCACTTTAATTTTAAAAGAGAAAAAGCACAGTAATACAAAAATATATAAAATATATAAATATCGAATAATTTTTAGGTAGTTTAGGAGCAGCATTTTTTAAATTTTATATAAAACCTTTTTTAAAATACAATAAAAATATCTTATCGCATAAAATTTATAGGTAGGATTTCGTGCAAGCTTTTACGACGTATAAATCGGAGATTCGACGTGGAGAGAACGCAAGTCTGGAACTTTCGGGTTCGCAAGTCCAAAACGGATTGCCCTCGTCTCACCTCGTTCCCGCGTTGAACTCCTCAGATTTCGTCGCGTATAGATTCTGACGTCACGCACGGCTCCATCAGAAATCCGAGTCACGGTCGCATCTAACTCCGCATTGTGACAAGCTTGTCGCGAGTCAACGAACCAATCGATAGACCGATCTAATTTAGTCGTGATCATGCTATTGTGCCGTAGTGCCTATTGTCCAGCCCG